ACTGAAACGCCGACATGAACACGTACACCAGCCACAGCAGGAACAGAAATATGGCTGACAGCCACTTGGCGATCACGGGTCCTCCAAGCTCGGCGTTGCCGAATATTTTCATGTAGCGTCTGGCGACCAGCACGGCGATGCAGAACAGCGACAGTACGGTGTAGGTCAGAACACGGAAGCCGAGGTGATCGGTGTGCACGATAAACGGTTGCTTCAAGCAAGCCCAGTAGATGGAGGAGATGAACCACGGCAAGCCTAAGCCGAGGAAAACGGTTACCGACACGCTGCCCGTTATGTGGCCGATCGCACCGTCGGCTGTTTTCTCCTGAAATAATACCGTTATCTTTCCAACTGTGCTGACACAGTATCTTTCTTTTATTTCGTAGTAAGTCGAATACATTCACGTTAAACAAGAGATGGCGGAGCTACGGTCTTACACTATTCACAGAAGCGTATTCCTAATGACAGACGGCAGAAATATGGCGGCTTATGAACAAGATGTAATTGGTTCGGAAGTTCTACTGCATTGGGAAGATCAGTATCTGAGAAGAACAGGGTAGACGGCGTAAAGAAAAATCTAACGTCACGAATTGGTGTGTTGCTTTAGTAAGTAAGCTGACGAAATATAAGCCACAACTGTAAGCGTATTAACATAATCTGCTATAATATATTGAATTAGCGTATGCCAGTCATCTTCAGACATAATTATGGCGTATATCGTTAAGCGAAACTTAAGCGTGTACCTTTATCCTAAATCATTCGTTCCTCCTATAAATACGAGGAAAATAGCTGTCACCTGTTCCATTGCTTTAGAAGAATCAGGAGCAGAAATACCAATGTCATAAGAGGACAAGATTTTAAAATTACAAAATATTAACCTTTCCCGTTAGCATGTTTATAAATTTTTCGATTATGATAGAATTATTTCAGAATTAGTTCTTTAGGTCTGCTTTAAAGATAAGATATTAGGGTCTTTTTATCGTTAAGAATCTCGAGGAAGGCCGTGTGATTTGTGAGAGATTTACCTTATTAGGTGATCCATTTTGCGACTGCTCCCGGTATATTCAAAGACAACAAAACTATAATGTTGCGGTTCCTTTCAGGGATCATGCAGCAGCATATATTTTAAGAGAATATTCATCGGAACATTGAATCTTAAAGGTCATTTATTGTCTTATGCTGACAACAGAAAATCAGCTATAATAACTTAGTCCATTTTAAACAGGTAACCTGCGTTCTTCTGCCGTTTACAAATCATTACTGTATTTATGTTCAATCCTGTGCAGGCTGACCGTTAGTTTAGTCGCAATATTCTAAGCCATTCTGAAAGTTAAATACGATATCAAACCACATATCATGCTGAATAACAGCTATGCTGTGTGGAAACGCGAATATTCATATGGATGGGTGGTGTCAGTAAAATGGATCACGTCGTCAATATCTTCATAAGAGACACATTGATGTGGCATCGATTACAGAATGGCTTGTGAAAAGCAGGCTCCGTTGGTTCGTCCACATGAAAAGCAGATCCGATGATTACGTGAGAAATATGGTAAAAACACTAGTACTGCCAGCGAAGCAAAGAAGGGGAAGAGCAAAGGAAAGGTGACGCAGTGTCGTGAAGAAAGAGAAGAGACAGCGAAGAGTGACCAAAGATTTGAGCAAAGACCGGAAATATGCAGGCAGCTAACTCGAGCAACGGAACCCTGTTAATGTGAACACATTAGGAAAAAGAAAATGCCGATTTTAAAGCCATAATTGTTGCTTTCTTCATTATAATAGTAAACAAAAAAAACTACTCAGTCTGACGTCAGGCAAAATGCACTGGAAAGTAATAAACATACGTTGTGTCTGTATTTTCATGCATTTTAGCGACTAGATATAAGAAACAGGACAACATCATTCAGGACAAGAAACTTAGCAGAGAAGGGTGAACTTGTATTTTTCAATTCCGCTGCATTGCCATACACGGCCAGCTTAGTGTACATAGAAAGAAGTCGGCTTCGAACAAAAAATCCTCTTAACCGCTTAGCCCCTTAAACAAAAAATTAACCGCACCTTGGCTCGGTACAGTCAACCTAGAAACGAGACCAACCCGCTGACTTGCGAACAACAGAGATGGTGTTACTGTGAGGTCATACTGTGACGAACGATGGGTATGATGATGCCATTTAATGTGGCTGTGTCTCGTGCCTCAGTTCGTCTTGACCCACGCTGGTCATCCAGTATCGAAATCTGTGCAAAATGTTGTCGTGTTGCTTCCTAGAATTAAATATGGAAAGACTCTTTACACAAATGTGATTCAGTATCAGGAACAGTTCCAAAATTGTCTAATAATCAGTGCCTGTTAATTTTTAATCTATGAAACAAATTATTGTACTGTTACGTCATCATGCGAGTACCAAAAAAAACTAGAAAGTGGAATATCTAATATTTCGACAAGTCTCTGCCTCATTTTCAATGCCATGGACTTTCGAGTCGGTTCATAAAGCTGACTTCCGCTTTCGATATAATCGCGGACCAGTGCTAGCCTAATTAGGGTCAACGGTGACAGTTGCACATGGCTGCAACGCACGCCATGGATTTGACTTTTACCGTTTTCCTCAGCAACGTAGAAGCGAGTGAGGGACTCACGTACGACTGTTATATAAGATCATCTTTGATACAGAAAGCTCTATGTGAGATTACTAGGGACGGAAAACGTGAGAGCGACAAACTGTATTAATCCTCGAAGAATGCGTCGCAGTCTTTAGAGAAAGGTGCCGAAGCTTGTCTTAATTTTCTGTTTCCGTGATCGACAACTAAATATATTCATACATTAGGTAGCATTTGGCTTTGTTTTGTAATATAGTTTGTATCGGTTTATGAAATCCGTGAATATCTGCTAAGGGAAAGAGAGACAAGTGAAAAAGCTTATGAAAAAGCGTAGTGTAGGAAACCAATTCACTTATAAAAGTAATTACATGTATGGCTGCTGCTCTGGAAGCAAACATGTCAGGGAGCTTGGTTCCGATGACAACTATCGTGATAGCCGTCACAGATTCTTTAATACCAACCAGACAGCCAAAGACGGTAGCCATTTCGCCGATAAGCGCCGTTACGATGCAGATTAATATGAAACTAATAACGAACGTTAGCCATCCGTCAAGAAGACACGGGGGCGGCACCAAAGCACACAGCACTTTCCAAGGGAACGAAATAATGTGAGTTATGCAGTCGGCCATCGTCGCCTCCTCCACGTCCCCGCCATTAACCGACGCGGCGTTCACAAACTGGTCTTTCCAGCTGTGGGTATAAGATTTTAATTGGTGAAGTTTCCTTCGTACCACTTCCTCGAATTCGGCAAACTGTCTAAAGAACGACAAGCGTTGAACAGGTCATTTTGCAACAGCCGTTGCATTGCTACGACGCACCTGTTTAGTTGGTCGTCGTTCAGAATGGTCACGTTCACCTTGTTACAGGTGCCGATCTTGCCACGATCGGTAGCTGTCAGCTTCAGAGTGAACGTTTCGTCCTTTTCGACGTCGAAGTCATTCACCAAGGCGATATCCACGTACTTTTCCATGGCTCCTTCTTCGAAAATCAGACAGCCCCTGGTTCCGATGAAATCGCGGTCGTGCAACGCCGTTCCATCTTCAGTGATCCAGTCTACTCTTGTTTGAACCTAAATTATATCAGAATATATGATTAAGGCCGGGCCCTTTTATGAGGTGTAGCGCAAGGACTGACATGCAGAGCTTCGACTGCCACAATCAATCCCTCGACTCAGGCCTCTCGTCGACCAAGAAAATCACATGGGACTTTACGTAGACGAAGGGGACAGCGTTAGGAGAAAATCTAGAAATTCCGTTAGAATTGCTCTGATGCGTCTATATGATAAATGAGTAGAGGTGATGCCTAAAAAACTTGGAACAATGCATTATCTTGATATTTTTGTGTAGGTATATGCATAACTTCTTGGATGCCACACGTTTTCATTGCTTGATATCCAGTGTCTTCTCTGTTATGCACCGAGGTAAGATCTTTCGACGTAGATGCATCGGTCCGGTCCGATCGTCGCCAATCATTTCAACTCAGGAAATAGTTTTATGTTAACGGTCTGCTAGTTTGACCTGAGTTTTAACGGACAGAGCAGCACAGCTTATGATAAAAAGCTTCTTGGTGAGATCAGCCGCTTTATCGCTTAAAAGGGATTTTTAATAGGTTTCACAATAGGAAGGGTGAGTACGAACACAGCATGGAAAATCTATACAACATATTAAAAGAATATGGTCAAACTGCCATTAAAACAGATTTGTACAAATGAAAGAAGGTGCATGGCGCTTAAAGTGAAGTATGAATATTAAAGACTGCACATGCTAACCTTGATTATGTTATTGCTGTCCATTTCAGACATGAACGTTCCTTTGCGAACGACCACTGCCCTGACAAATTCGTCGCTCTCCATGGCCGAGATGTGCGTCAATGTGAACTCGACCGTTGATTCCTTTTCGACCTGTATTGGATACAGCAGTTTTGTCGAATGACACCTTCCGACATCCACGTTTTTCTTGAGCATGTCGCTGTCAACCTCGATCTTTACCCAAAACGCCATCATTGATTTCCATTTCTCGGGGTTTTGCAGTTCGACGTCCACCTGCTTCACCGTTTCGCCCGCCTTCATGAACAGGAAGTCTTTTTTGTCCAAGAAATGGACGTTTCTTTGCGCAGTGCCGTTAACCGTGCGGATGCGAAACAGCACCTCCTTTTGGTCGTTCCCTCGACGAACAACTTTCAAGTACGCCCGACGATAAACGTTTGGATTGATCACGTAGAGCGAGGTGTCGAACTCAATCCTCACGCCATCGTCTGCTCCTGAAATCGGTTGGTGTTTCAGGGTTAAAGATTGGCTTTCGATGTGTCTGTCATTACCATCTGCATGAAGGTTATTTAAGAAACTGGCAAACGCGAGATTGCCTAGGCTGCAATATTAAGATGCATAGCTGGTGTTCATTTAAGTCAATCTGTGACTCTCAGAGACCTGCCACAGGTACTCATAATGAGAACGCCACGCTCCAAACTCATTCGACATCAGATCAGTAAGGTCATTCCTTGTTTAGGGAGCACGGTTACCTCAGTGGCATAACTTGGCATGCAGGAATGAACGTCTGACGCACATAATCTCTCTTACTCAGTGATTGAATATTGTGCAACCTGGTTAAGTCGTATATTCTTCCCAGCAACAAAGTGAACGCGTATCTGAACTCAGTTACGTGGACGACAGTTTGAGAGGTGAATTTATTCTGTATTCGTGGCTTCCTGTCATATCCAACAACCTGCATCTTTGTTAGCTTTAAAAAGTAAAGGAGTTACAGATAAATTCATTACATATGTTTTCATGGCTGTTTTAACAGCCACGTGAAGAACATCAGTGGCTAAGCTTAAGTGGTTTTGAAAGGCTAAACCAGTAGAAGAAAAAGAGAAACAAATGAAAGAGTCTTTCTTTCTATGACACGTTAATCGACTGACTTTAGCCTGATTTTCAGCCGGTTATGAAGAATAAAAATTATATCACATGTTTTGCAGCGAATAGATATTTATGGCTCCTCACAGGTCTCATGATCGTTTATAATTTTTAGAATTTTAAAAACATTTGCATTTTGGATGCAGATTTTAAGAACAGGGTAATGAGAACAAGACTGTTTTCTCTGTGAACACCTGTAGATGAGGTGTTGGTTAGAAATGTATTTTCATTCTTTCAATCTGTCGTAACAAAGTTTTGTCTATTGGGAAAGTATTTGATTGTATTCGCTGTGTTCCGCAGATGCAACTCGTCGCTGAAGGCAACTAACGAATAGGACGGTGCAACGGTTCATAGCAATTATTTGATTCAGGTCCTCGTAATTTACTAACGTAGTTCTGATATGTCTAATCAGACATAGTTCTCCATTATCCTTAATTAACTGGGCACAATATATCTCCAGTGGAAAGATAGATGTGTCCAACTGAAGATCGAAGCTACAGACAGAATGAAGGTATGGCAAAAACAGACAAGACCTGAAAGCAGCTTTTTCTCATAGGTCTGACTTAAACCTGAAATCTTGGCGTGTTCCTGAAAATCACCCGAAAAGAAGCGCATTCCGTAGGTGAAGATAAATGACCTACTTCTAAAACTGGCCTTTGCCGGCCCCGCTGGCGCTGTGGGAATTACTTTGCGTGTCGAAGCAGACATGCCGCGGACTGCATTCATCCTGTACCACAGGCTGTTGTGCTGTTTTTCATCATCCATTTTTTGTGCCACAAGAGTGGCTACCTGATCCATGTTCAAATGAGGGTTCAGACGCATGATGTCCTTTTTCAGGTTGTGTAGCTTTTCGCTCTCCTTCAACTTCTCCTTCTCGTTCGCCTCGTCATCTGACTCAGGGCGCTTCTTCAAAGCGGCACCAACCGGCTGCTTTTTACCTCGATACTTGGACAGAGATCGAAACTTGATGGCCACGTTCAAACTGACCAGGTAGGCACTGACCACCAGAGCTGGGTAGAAGAGCAACGTAAACAAGCTTTCCCAGATATCGATTCGGTTGGGAGAGGCTCCGAGCAGGATGAAGATCAGCCACAAATAAGCGAAGACACTCCATGCAGCTGTAGTGAAAAACACGCTCGTCTCCTTTATGCGTCTTTTCTCGCCGTCCGGCACTGCAGCTACACAAATCGCGACGATGGTCATCAGGTTGTAAGCTGCGGCTCCAACGATCACTTCCGGCCCCAACGGTCCAACCTTGAAACCTCTCTCTATAAACAGACATTTTTACTATCGTCGTAACAAACGTAAGACAGAGATATGCCAACTGATTACTATACAATATTGTTTCCTTTCAGAATTCATATTACGGTAGCTACGGTGCAGTATAACCAATAATGTTCGAAGGAAAAATTACCAGGTCTTACCAAGGAACTTTTTGTACTTTGTTACGGATGTTTTTTCACGTCTGTGGATCGGCATATGAGAAGGATGAGTCGCTGTAAACGAAAATCTAAGATGAAAAGAACGGGCACAGCCGCCCGCCCCCATTTATTGCAGATTCGCTTACCTGGAGCTTTTCGGCCATTGTCCTAACCATTCCGCTGTACATAGTGTAGCAGAACACTGACTCTAATACTCGTGACCATAAGAAGATAAACTGATATGCTCATTTGGTCTTACAGTGATAGTTTATATTCAGGTGTTTCATAACTTCAGACCGTTTCATGCTCGCAAGGCAGTATGGTCCGGAAGTAAGATTTTGAGTTCCAGACCTTATTAAATCCTTGACGAAATGTTGATGAAACTTCATGTCGTCAAACCTTATGATGACGTTCTGCATCACCAACTCACTTCTACACACCATTCTACACACCGTTTGATCCTTGGTGTCGAGACATCTTCAGTGAATGCATGCTTCTGGCATCACTTGATCAACCAGCGCCTTGATCATCGCCAGTTGCGTTTCAGAAGCCAGTAGCCAATATATTGATGTATTATCACAAAATTATGGCTTATTATGCGCCTTATATAACGAGTAAAGGACTGGTTTGATCCGATGCCTTGTTATTCAGAACGAGTATCTAGGATTAGTTGGTGTTAGCAAGGTGTTAGGTTCTAAGACTGCATCGCACCATTCGAGTCCGTCAGTCCTTTACTAATCTGCCACCACGCAACTCTAAGGAGGTTGGTGAAGCAAATCTCTAGGCTAAGTTTCTTTTCATACAATGGTGTGTTCAGCCAGTTCGTTCATTTAGCAGAATTTCACCGCATTCCCATGCGACTGACATCCGGGACAGTAGCAGTCATCGAATGTATAAGAAACTCTCACACTGCTTTCCCTGACTCAGTTAATTACATCCAGGCTTGTTTATCTTTTGACAGAACAGAGATATGTCAGAGACCGTGATTCCTTGTTCATTCCGCATTCTACCAAATGTCACTGGCGTTAAACAACATTGTTGAATTCTCTCAGGGTGACGTAGTTCCCTTCCATTTTGTCCCTACCAATTGTTCCTAGTAATTTTATGCTGGTTTCAGCGGTGATTCGTTTATTGATTTATTTTTTCATACCTCTAAACATCCGCGTTTAATTCTGCTCTGTGGTATGTGGAATGCTTTGAGTCATTCAATTCAAGTCATTGTACCGGCTGAACTACACTGGCTGTCATGAAAGCTTCTTAACAGTGAAATAATCCGATGCCACGCAAGAGATAGCATCAATTGACACTGTTTCAGTGGGCACTTAATTAACCCGCACGACTCAGATATGTCAGACGAATTCTCGTTGCCGTTACTCACTTTTTATCAGCACAGATGAACAGCCCTTCATTAATCAGTATCTTGATTCCGTCACGGTTCTGATCGATATTGATGACATTATTCGTGTAGGCTTGCTCGGTCATTTCCCATGGAAAGGTCAATAAAACTAGTGTAATGCAGGTCGTGATTCATGATGTCTCTCTTTTCTTCGTTATTTCTTTCCTCAGAGTCTTTTCTTGAAGGCCTCATCTGACATATCATTCAAATTTCCCTCTGTTATATTTAAAAGAATATGCAAGACGCGTGTTAGATTGCCGATGCCAAAATGCCGCAATGCTTTGGCTTTGTTTAACGGCTCCTAGGCCCTGATAAGCAGGGTAATGGGACCATAAATCACGTAGCAAGGCGTCCCGCGATATTCTTCTGGGGAAGGAATCTTTGAGTCTAATGCTTGCGGAAAGCTCATAAGGAATAGAGATATACGAGTGACGAACAAGGCATGATTCTGTCTGAAATAATGCGAAATATATTGATGCATCGCATGTGCTAAAATATCATAGAATCATGATATCGTAAAATATCATACCTTATCCCATATACTATCACACGATGGCTTGCTAAATTGATCTCTAGACGTCCAACACCAACGGCGGGCGAGATGTCTGCCATAAGCAACACCAAGAATTTTCATTTATCATATCTATGACTAGTGCTGTTAAATTTTCTTATAACATTGATAAAGAACGCATGAAAGTCGCAACTTCTTGTGTGACATGGATCCCTGTTTCGATGACCGAAAACAAGACATAAGTCCTTCCAAGGTATTCGAGAAGATCGATTCTCGGCAGTTTTGCACGAAACACCATCGATACGTTGGTGGTGGTATTCAACACCATTGCAAGCAACATCGACAAATTTAAATCCGCCGGCACTAGGGGCCCTCCTCGATTGTAGTTCGGCATACAACACGTTGCCACGAGCTACGCTTATTGACCTGTTGATGGACGCAGACGTGAAAGATCAGGTGGTTCGCATGCTTGCCAATTGCCATTCCGGATTCCTCCGGTTTGTTTGCTACGGTACGTGTAGTGAAACTCGCTGACAGTAAGCAGACTATTATACCACCTGTTGCATTTGGGCCCTGAACCATCAATTACTTAACCGCCTATCTGTACAATTATGGATCAAGAATCAAAAACCTGAAGACTTATTTTAAAGTGAGTTTCAGTCGCAATATTTAAGTGGTTTGAATCGGTGAACTTTAAAGCATGAAGAAAATCAGATGGAACGATGCAAAAACAATGAATTAAACATCTGCTGACCTGCCGCAGCCTTTTATAAATGAAAACTCTAAACTTTTAACTTACGGAACCCAGTGTCTAATTACTTTCAGTTACTACCTCGCAGCCTCATAAACCAGCTCCTGCTCTTTCCCGCTGAGAAAGGAGATGTTCCAATTTGTGACTGTGAGCCCCCACTTCGAACGGAATCGAATCCCCGTGTCGTAATAACATCGAGCTGTCTGACCCCCTTCGTTCAGAACGGATGGGTTCTTCGTTTCCGACTGGTATTTAAGCCTTCCTTTTTTGAGGCTTTGGCCTGCGTGGCCGTAGCTACGCCCCCCCCCCTCCCGCCGCAGCTTCCAGAAGGCGAAAAGCGGGTTCTGG